TAGGTTGGAAAGGTTACATCAGAGTGAGACTGGGCTGGAGTGAGCTGATATGGAATGGGAAAGACTGGGGTGGATATGGGTTGCAATGTGATTGGAAGAGTTGGAACTAGGCTTGAGTGAAATGAGGTTGCCTGGTTGGTTGGCTCAGGAAAGATTTGGTAAGATTATAGTTTGATGTAGATTTTAACAGTACGTCTTTGCTTCTGCTTAAAATCTTTTTGTGGCATGAAAGGGTTGTTTCTATTTTAACTTTTTAGCACATGGCTGTTGAGAATGGGTACAACGACTGTATGAAATACCTGATAAAACATGGTGCTGCTGTGGAACACAGGGTGAGAGCAGTTGATCATGTTTGTTACAAAATCATATCTTTGATAACTGTAGATAAGAACCTCTCCTAAATTCCCAATTTAGTTTTGTTAACTACACTAAACCTTACAAGCAATGCCAGTCATCATGTTCTGAGTTGAGATCCTTTTGTCTGTGGCTTGAGTTGTATGTCATTGACCCAAAACAGTTACTAGCCATAGCCACATGTCCCATAGTTCTCCTACCAATTGTGTATTCTAACAGGATGACGAGGGTATGACTATCCTTCACCTTGCGGCTAAGACTGGCAATTTGGAGGCTGTTAAACACATCATGAGTCTCAGGAAAATCAATTCCAATTCCCAGGTTAGTCTTGCTCTGAATAGAGGCATTATGTAGTAGCCATCTTGCAGGGCAGTTCTTTTGTTCTACAGGGAAACCTCCTTTGTGTATACCCTGTGGAACAAAAGCACTGTCCTGTAAGATGGCAGCCATGCAAATCTTCTATACTGACACTGTTGGACCTCCCCCTTGTCCATATGATGTAGTGTTCTGTGCTATCTCATTCATTTAACATTTAGAATCTGACTCGGCCTACACTTTCTTGGAGTATCATCCGCATTTTGTCAGAGTATCACGTGCATCGCTGGCTATATCTGAATCTGTTATCAAGAGTTAGGTCTAGGTCTTTGCTCCATCGGAAATATGCTGAGATGCATAGACAATAGATCTAGTCATAGCTTTGGAAGCCTGTTTTAGACATTGCTTCAGATTTTCTAGTCAATTCCGAAGTATCTTATTGAATTGAAATCTATAACAAAGAGACAAAGCTAATCAGGATGGTGCTTTCTGTTAAACATTTCCAGACAGATATTCTTTGAAAAGTTAACAAATCATTGGTTTTTGTGGTAACATCTGTGTCTCCTTAAAGAGAGTATGTCATTAATATCAAAAACTGATTCATTAAAGATGCATTATTACCCTGAATAGGAGTACCTACCTCCAAGTAATCAACAGTGGCTTGGACACGGCAGCATTTCACCATTTCATTGTTGAGATTTTATTTTTTGGTTAGGACGATGGTGGTTGGACACCAATCATCTGGGCTGCCGAGTACAAACACATTCCAGTCGTGAAGTATCTCATAGAACGAGGTGCTGATCCGAATGTCAGAGACAAGGTATGCGAATCAATCAAGAATAAACAGGTGCATGGCACTATTAATTACATTTGATTACGCCCAAAAGGCATTAAAGGATTTCTACAGCTGATTTAGTAACTGACTTGTGACACTTTGTCTTCAGGAGGGCAATTCAGGTCTTCATTGGGCTGTCTTCTCTGGATCAGAAGACGTCGCTGAGCTTTTCCTCAATAGACATTGTGATGTCTACGCACCCAACATTCATGGAGACACACCACTGTGAGTGGAGCTAGAGTATGTTATACCAAGCAGACATTTCAGTGGTCTGCAAGTAAATGTGTATCTTGGTAAAATTCATTTATTTCTAATTGCTTAGGGGCCTACTGTGGAGATATGATTTACCTTTCAAGGAGTTTTGTACTCAATGTCATGGAAACCACTTTTCTTACCTTTATTGCTTTAAGAACTCAGAAGTAGTTCATCATATGATACAGCAATATTATCGTATGAAACAAGTGCTTTGTTATCAGGGAATGAAAGAAACTTTTTCCAAAAATCTTGTGCTTCATTTCCTAGGTATAACTTTCCAGTGCCATTTCTTTTGTCATGAGTGTAGCATGTAATGATTTGTTTTATGATGTGAAGTATGAGCAAAATCTTTCCCAGTGTTCTCAAATATCTTTCCTTTATCAAAATTCAGGAGTAACTTAAACTGTTATCCTGTCTTTTGTAACTCTAATTTTTGGTTTTTTTTTCTTTTCTTTTTGGGCAGACACATTGCCTCCAGAGAGAATCACTACGGCTGTGTCACGTAAGTACTTTGTTTCTCAAAAACCACAAATTATATGTAAATATAAGCAGGAAACGTGTTTGCCAAGCAGTGGTCCCCCATTTCCATGTGAATCTGGCACAAAGTACACAAGACATCTGACAGGACTGTATTCCTGTTGACTATTTGGGTATGGCAGAAGTAGTTTTCTGCTGTCACTTCAGCCTATTTGTTACTTGTTTGGGTAGTTGTACATCCAGAGGATGGAGTGTATTTGAAATCATAACTCTTCATACATTTTATGCACAAAGTAGTATATTTTACTGTTATGTCCTTGCGATATTCAAGGAAGCAGGTTTGTAGAGTAATAATAATAATATTAATAATTTATTCATTTATAAAGCGCAAATTTCATATAGGTATGTTCAAATGAGCTGTACAATGAAGACATTAAGCGTGGAACAATGAATACATTTAAACATGGTTGAGCCGATGGTATACAATTATTATTCACGATTCACGGTAGAATGAATCTCTTTTGGAAAAATGTATTGACTCTGAGTGGTATTATTGATAGGATGGTTCTGGACATTTGAACAGTGTGATTTGTTCATCTTAAGGAAGTTGTCTTGCACTCTTAAGTCAGCCACTCCGAGATGCCCATAGGGAGAAATATTCCTTTTTCCAATAGATGTTGAACATTGCTTGTTTTTCTTGCCTTAGCATGCTGCTTCTGCGAAATGCCAACATTGCAGTCACAAACCAGGAAGGTGAGACACCTCTAGATTGTGCCAAGCCAAACTCGGATGTAGCCTTAGCTTTGCAGGTGAATGAGAAGATGAAACTGGCTGCTGGTAACAGAGCTATCAGAACAGAAAAGATCATCAGTCGGTAAGAATTAGAAGCAGAATAGGACCTATACAAAGATTACGGTAGTCATGTAACGTAGCCTTATTGATCATAAAGTTGAGGAACAAAAATCTTTATCTTCTGTGTTCTCGATAATGAAAAGAATGCCATTCAGGTGAATTTCAGGGTATACGTAGAGGGTTGTGTGGTCCATAAAGTAATTGTTGCAATTTTAATTCATTCTCTGAACCAAGTAGAGTTATGTCTTGAATAGATCCTTCATTTCACTC